TAAATAGCGTGGTCAGGGAAGGCTTTGTCAAGGTGACTGAAGGAGGGGAGGGAAGGAACTGTATGGATATCTAGAGGAAAAGCAGTCAAGACAGAGCAAACAGCCTGTGCAAAGGCCCTGAGGCAGGAATGGGTCTGCGTGTTCGAGACACAGCCAGGAAACTACTAAGAGTAGAGTGGAGTGAGATAGGGGGAGAACAGTAGGAAGTAAAACCAGAAAGGAACAGGGACAAGGTTGTGTAGATATTACAATAGATCATTGTGAGAATTTAGGCATTGTCAGGAGTCACTATAACAAAGAACATTTTTGTATGTGTGCTCATTATGTTCCAGGTGCCATTCTGAACATTTTGTAGCACTTCTTATTCTCATTTAATCTCCACAGTGACCTCTGAGGTAGGAAATACTGTTATTCCCATGCGTGCTCATTATGTTCCAGGCCAAGTACTTTGTAGCATTTCCTATCTCATTTAATCTCCACAATGACCCTATGAGGGAGCATGTTATTCCCATGCTACAGATGAAAGAAAAAGGAGAGGTTTAGAGGGGCCAAAGTGAGACCAGAATTTTAACCCAGGACCTCCTGATGCCAGAGCCCTCACTGGGCACTATCATAATTGAGGATGTAGGTGAAGCATTTAGCACAGTGTCAGGGACCCAGTAGGCACTCAATAAATGTCATGATTGCTGTGGCAAGTATTAAGATGACCTTTTAAGAAGATTGCGTCTCCCCACCCTTATCTACAGCCGCTCAAGCCTCAATGCCAAGCCCCATGACAGCCTTGACCTGAACTGCGACAGTCGGGACTTCGTGGCTGCCATCATCAGTATCCCTACCCCTCCGGCCAACACGCCAGATGAGAGCCAACCTTCCTCCCCCGGTGGTGGCGGTGGGGCTAGCAGCACCCTCAGGAACTCCAGCTTGGGCACCCCTTGCCTCCTCCCAGAGACTGTCAAGATCTCTTCCCTGTGAACTGTGGGCCCGCCCATCTAGAGGGCCCTCTCAGTTCTTGGGGACTCCTTTCCAAAGCCATATTTTGGGGAGGCGGAGAGGGGCAGGCCTGGGGACCCCTTCTGCCCCCCACTGAGAACTATGCAATGGAGTTTCATGGAATGGCTTACCTGTGTGCGGAAGTAGCCAGGGAAGGGGAAACTTTCCCCACCCCAGATAGTTTTTCCAGGGGGCACTGAAGTGCTGGGCTTCCTCAGAAACCCCCCCCCACCCCCCAGCCTCCTTGCCCTAGCACACTGGGACTGGCCTCTCTCCCCCAGCTGGCCTCCTGCATGCTCCTCCTCTTGGGCACCTGGGCTCCCACCTGATATATGAGCTCTGGCCTGAGAAGGAGAGATGAGATTTCCTCTTCTATCTGGCTGGGCTGTGGAGGTTTGGGGGTTCAGAGAACCTTCACCTCTGATCTGGCCTCTGGGAGACATCCCCACCCTCCACAAAGCCCAACACCTCCCTGATTCTGAAGCTTGGAATGCAACCACAGACTTCCTGGGCTGTGGCCTCAGCAGTGACCTGCCACCACCCCCTGCCCTGCCTTGGCTCAGGGGTCAGGCTGCCTTTCCCAGTACACACAGATAGCACAAACACTACTCCCCTCTCCTGGCTGCTGGAAACAGGTCCCTTCAACCCTGTCCTCTGCTGGGCCCCCAGCAAACTCGAGCAATAGCAGCTGCTGCTGTGACATTATGCAAAGCCCCTGCCCAGTCTGCTGCAGTATTTACACCTGCCCTAATCAGAGGGGCCACCTCCAACTCCTCCTCCCTTCTCCTCTGGTTTGCTTCCTTTCTGGGTTGGGCTGGAGTCTGGACTGGCTGAGATAAGAGCCTAGTAGCCAGTGAGAGCTGGGCTGTGTTTGAAGATCATACCTGATTCCATGTTATTGGGCAGGAGTCTAGAAGCATCAGGGGCTGAGACCTGGGTTGTTCCCAAACTCTGGGATTTGTAGGAGGGCAGGAGGGACTTCTTGATCTCTATCTCTTCCTACTCCTCCCCCACCCCAACAACGCCTTTTCACATATTCCTCTTTCTTTTCCCTCTCGGGTCACCTTCCGGAATTCTGGGTCTTCTCTCAGGCTGAAATCGGGCATCATCTCAGGTTCCCCAGCACTGTCCCCGTGGAGCTGGTGGCTGCCAAAGATGTAGTTTCCATCAGTCAATAAAACCTGAGAGGAGAGATGAGGATGAGCACCTCCTGGCTCTGTGGGTTCAGAGGCTGGGTTGGGCTGAGGGGTTCAAAGTAGTCTGGTTTCAATTTCTTTCAACTTGGAGAAAGGCTGGTATGGGTGCAGGTATTGGGAGGTCAATGGTTGGTGACATGTTCTGGAAGATGGGGATCTAGGAGAACTTAAAAGAGGGTGGTTTGAAGAACTGAATCTACAGCCAGGGAAGCAGGCCAGGAAGTCTGGAGACATGCCCCTAGGACAGCATCTGCTCCAGCTCTCTCACTCACAGATGGGGAAACTGAGACCCAGAGTGGCATATGCTTGGTTAGAGGAAACTGAAACCCAGGCTTCCTGACAGCAAATGGCTCTGAACTGAATCTTAATTAAAAGCATCTCTCAGGGGCACCTATCTGGCTTACAGCATGCAGCTCTTGATCTTGGGGTTGTGAGTTCAAGCCCCACATTGGGCCTAGAGATTACTTTAAAAAAAAGAAAGAACTCAAGATTAAAAAAGAAGAAGGAAATCTCAGTTTGGCACATTCCTCTTCCTTGTAGACATCTACATTCTCTCTCCTGGGTTACTGGGTACACTAGGGTAGTTTGTGATTGAGCTCTGTGGAGGACTGAGAAGACAGACCCCGGATTTGGGTTGACCTGGGTTCCAATCCCTGGGTGAGGAAGTCATTTAAACCTTCTCTTGCCTCAGGTTGCTGATCTGTAAGATAATAATCATTTATTCACCAAATATTTTATTAACTGCATATCATGTGCTAGCCCTAGCGATACAAAGATGAGCAGAGAAGACATCGTCTCTGACTGACAGAAGTGAGCATGGAAGGCAGACAATTAAGCAATTACAATGCAGTGCTGGAGAACTAAAATCAATGGGATTGCAGAAGCATGCAGATGACAGGAGAACGTAACCCAGCCAACACCGAAAGAATGAGGTGGCAAAAGGATAAAAATGTTTCAGGTGGATGGAACAGCATATAGAGGTTAGGGAGCAAGCTCAGGGCTTTGGGGGAACTGAAATAGTTCAGTACAGCTGGAGGAGAGTGTGAGGCTGTGATGAGAGTAAGGATGTAGAGACAGGCCTGATCACAAAAAGCCTTTGAAGCTATGATACAGAGTTTGGACTTTATCCTAAGGATAATGGGGACTTCTGAAGGCTTATACACAGGAGAGTCATAAGGTTTGGGTTTCAGAAGGATCACTCTGGCTATGGACAGCGGACTCTAGAGAAACAGTCCTGGCGGAGGAAGAGCAGTGAGGTGGCTTTTGCAGTAGTCCAGTTGGTAGGTGATGATGGTTTGGACCATGTAGTGGTGGTCAGAGCTGGAGGGTCGAGATTTAAGAAGTAGAACAGCAGGATTTGGGATTGACAGGCATGTAAGAATTGAGGAAGAGGGAGCAGACCAGGTTGACTCCCAGGTTCTGGCTTGGACAAAGGCTGAGTGGGGGTGCCACTCACTGTCAAAAGGAACATCAGAGCTGTTAGCAGACAGTGTCAGGCACATAGAAAGTATTTAGTGAAGATTAGCTAGTGATTATCCTAAGTTCAATTCTAGACATGTAGTGCTGGACAAGTATCCAGTAGGAAATCTAGGTCAAGTGGGATGATCATGAGACGATTCAATGTGATAACACGCATAGGCATTTGGCACAGTGCCCTGAACACAATAGGCCCATTAAATGTGAATCTTCTCCCATTAAGTCTTCAAAGCAGTGAATACAACATTCCATTTGTAACTGACACCCTTCAAGGAAGAACTTCAATCAAGGTCAGCATCTGCAGGAAGAAGGTTAGATGGCACTCAGTCTTTCAGTCAACATATTATATGGCTTGACTCCTAAGACTGGCAGCAAGCCTTCACCTCTCGAAACAACTTCCTGATTCATAAGCCCATCTGAACCTGTAACTACTCCTTGAGGTAGTTTGGGCAGGCATTATCATTACCCGTTTTGCTTGGGTAACCTCAAATTTGAGACACAGTGACTAGCTCAAGGTCATAGAGATGGTAACAATCCATCAGGGTCAGGAACTGAGGTCTTCTTGACCGTCAAGCCTGGGATCCTTTTTTTTTGCATGCCATTCAGACTTACTATGTGCTAGACACAGCACTAGGCCCTTTACAAGCATTCATCTCTGATCCTTAAGTCATAATTACCACTTCCATGTTACAGAAAAGTAGAAACTGCAGATGGGGTCTCCTGACTGGCTCAGTCCTAAGAGCATGCAACTCTTGATCTCGGGGGTTGTGAGTTCCAGCTCCACTGGGTACAGAGATTACTAAAAAATAAACAAAAAATTTTTTTTGAAAAACTGCAGATGGGATGGGCATTAAATGACTTGCCAAAGATCAGTCACACAGGAGAGGCAGAGCTACGATTAGCTTGTAGCTCTCCCACCGCTCAAATACCACGGATTTTACCAACCCCCTTGCCAGGGGGGCTGGTAACAGCTCTGGTTCATAAACTTTTGCTCCATCCAGGTAAACTTAGTTGCGGGGGGAGGGGGGGTAGGAGGGCAGGTCGGAAAGGCTGTGCCGCGCTTGCGCACTAGCCACAGGGGCGGGGAGGTCAACGCGAGGGCGAGAGCGCTGCGGCGCCAAAGGTGTGTCTGCTTCCCAAACACCCAAGGTCCTCGCGAGGCAGGTCTGTCCCAGGGTTGGCCGGTCCAACGTGAGTGACAGCCTATCTTAACCAGTCACCGCAGAACTCGGCCTGTTGCCAGGGTGAAGCGGCGCCTGCCTCTCCTCTGGATGTGGATTTGCAGGTGGGTGGGACCGGAACTGACGCTTCAGGGGAGTGCTATTGCTCTGGGAGTGTTGATATTTTCCAGTCAGTCCAGCTGACTGCGGCCAAGTTGGGAGCCTGGCAGGGGAAGCGCTTTCAAAATTGTGTGCGGGGCCGGCCACGCTGCCCTGTTGTAGTACCGCCGCCTGCGAATTAGAGCCTCGGAAAGAGAAGAGAGTGTGACGGAGTGAACGAGAAGAAAGGCAAAGAACCGAGGCGCCGACTTTGACTGAAATCTGAGACTGAAGGCTCGGGAGGGCGATTGCTCGCATCTGATTGGCCCGTGGGCGTCATCGAGGACCTACGCAGGCGTCTCGATTGGTTGGTGCCCTCAATTGTTGTGGCGGCGGCGTAGAATTTTGCCCACGTACTTCCGAACGAGAGGCGGGGCCGTTCTCTGGCGCGCGTGCGCAGCGCCCCGGGGCCCCACCCGGTAGTTCAAGAACCTGCGAGGGGGCGGGGCGAGGAGGTGCTTGTTTTGGTTCTGTTTCCTTTGAAGCAGCAGTCCGGAACGAGCGAGCGTAGCAATAAGCTTGTTGGACTTGGAGAGAAGGCTACGACAAACTCGCCGCGGTGCTTTCATCTAGGACTTAACATCCGGGTTCTCCTGCCGCGTGACCCGCGCGCCACCGAGGGTTCTCGAACCGGTGCTTCAATCCCTTTATCCGGGTCTCGCCGATCCCGTCGTGCTTCGCGCACCACAGTAGCCCCCTCATCCGGGTTCTCTCCCAGCGTGCCCCGCGCCGGGTTTGCTGGGGGGTACTTGGCGGTGCCGCCATGACTATTCTCCCCAAAAAGAAGCCGCCGCCTCCCGACGCCGACCCCACCAACGAACCGCCGCCGCCCGGGCCGCTGCCCCCGGCGCCGCGTCGCGGCGGGGGTGTGGGCGTGGGCGGCGGCGGCACGGGTGTGGGCGGCGGCGACCGCGACCGTGACTCGGGCGTCGTGGGGGCCCGTCCTCGGGCCTCGCCACCGCCTCAGGGCCCGCTACCGGGGCCACCGGGAGCGCTTCACCGCTGGGCGCTGGCCGTGCCGCCTGGCGCCGTGGCGGGTCCGCGGCCACAGCAGGCCTCTCCTCCTCCCTGCGGGGGCCCTGTTGGTCCCGGCGGCGGTCCCGGCGACGCGCTGGGCGCAGCAGCGGCGGGTGTGGGCGCGGCGGGCGTGGTGGTGGGCGTGGGCGGAGCGGTAGGCGTTGGCGGTTGCTGCTCTGGGCCGGGCCACAGCAAGCGTCGGCGTCAAGCCCCCGGGGTCGGAGCGGTTGCAGGGGGCAGTCCAGAGCGTGAGGAGGTCGGCGCAGGTTATAACAGTGAAGACGAGTATGAAGCAGCTGCTGCTCGCATCGAGGCAATGGACCCCGCAACCGTCGAGCAGGTAATGGGCTGGGGGTGACAGGTGAGTGAATGGAAGTGCCCAGACTGGGTGGGGACCTAAGGAAGGCTGTTTGAGATCCTCCAAGGGACCTGTGCTTTCTCCCGGAGCCTGGCATTATTCTTTGATGGTAGGGGCTCGAGACACTCTCTTCCCCGCCCCCTACCAAGGACTTGGGGATCAGAAGCCCCAGATGAGATGGCGGACTTACGATGCAGTCTGTGGTCCCTTCTGGAACCCGGAGCCCTTACTCCAGGCCCTGAAAGCTCACGTAAGGCCAGTAGGTGGGAATGCCCCCTGAGAGGGGAGTCTCATGGCTCTGGGGGACCTGGTGTGTGTTTGATGCCTTGAGATTTCCTTTCTTCTGGGATAAGTCTCTAAGACGACTCCTTGTGTGAACACAAGTAAGGTAGAGACCTCAGGATAATTTTGAGCATCCCCGAGATACCTAAACCCTTTTCAGGGGTCTGAGAGACCGTTTATACAGGACAGCACCCTCACTTCCTTCTTGGGGAGACAGCCTAGGACCACGCAGAAGTCGGAGTCTGAGACTTCCTTAAGGGGCCTAAGTGTGCCTTCAAGGGCTTGAGACTCCCTCTTCTAGAATCAAGAGCCTGATGTACACACACATATATATTCCCTTTAGAGAAGGGGATCTTCTGAATTTTTATTAAGGGAGATAAAATTTCTTCGAAAGAGTTAAGATTCCCTTTGGGGACAAGGGCCAAAACTAACACTCGGACCAGAAACTACTAAGGTGCATGAGATTCATCCCTTTTCTAAGCGATAAGGGTATATGCTTCCTTTCAGTGGTCCGAGACCTCCTTGGGACCAAGAGTCTGAATTTCTAAGAGCTGAAGCTTCTTTTAACTGATAGGCCTTCAGCTCTTCTGTCCCCCAACCTCCCCAGCCTGAACCTTTCTTCAAGAAAATAAGCCTCATTGTTTTGGGTACTTGAAGCTAAGATTCCCCATGCTTATGGATTGAGCTTACAGAGATGGGGTTTGAAGCCTCTTCAGGAAATGGATACCCCCCACACAGAGGTCCCAGGCAAGGTGAGGTCTTTAGAGGTCCTTTTTTAATCAGGGATTGGTATCTGAGTGTTCTCCTTGGGTGGTCTGAGACACTCCCTCCACACACACAAACACAGGGATATAAGATCGTTCTACCCTGATTATGAGGGAATGAAACACAGCTTGGGTATGTAACAGCCCTTTCTCCCCCTGTAACAGGGATCTTAGCACCCCCTGCTCCAAAGGCCTGAGCTTCTTGTCAGGGATGGAAGATCTCTGCTTCAGGAACTATAGCCAGATAAACTCTTCAGAGAACATGGTAGCATGGAGTCCCAGAGATGGAGCCTGAGGCCTGCCCATAGATCTAAGTCTGCCTTCAGGGCCTGAGACCCATTGCACCAGGGACACTTGAGCTTGCCCTCAAGGACAAGAGACCCATACATATCCCAGTGACTGGTGTGTCTCTAGAGATGAAGTCTGGGCTTCTCACTTCAGGAAGACTCCTTCCACTTTGGGCCCTAAGTCTCTGGGGAATAGGGTCTCAGGTCTCCCCCTAAGAGTTTAAACTTTTTCTCCTGTGTGTGAGAAAACTCAGCCCACCTTAGGACCTGAGACTTGAGTTTGCCCTGAGTACTAAGTTCACCTCACTTCAGATCACGTATGGGTACCCCAGTTACAGGAGCCTTTTTAGGGACATAATATATTTTGCTTTGGGGACTTGAGCCTCAGATTACTTGTGAACTGAATCCTGAGAACTATTCACTCCCCTTGGGACATGGATAAGATGGGATTCTGAGGAAGAGCCTCTTCCCACGGGACTAAGTTTCTCAGGGACAAGAGATCCTTCACCTTAGGGAGGGGCCTGAAGGGTCCTCCATACCCCCGCTTGGGTATGAGGCTCTGTCCCCCTCCCCTGCAACCAGGCAATCCTTTCTCACCAGTGAGAGGGAAATGAGGTCCTCTCTAGTGTGGCCTGAGACCTCCCCCATTGAACATAAAGACCTAGGTGCTCTTCATAGCAATAAGAACCCCTTATCTGAGCCCCCTCAGGCCAGGAAGATCTCCTTACTTTCTATGAGGAGGTTGTCAGGTACTGGGGACATGGTGGCTGAGGCCTCCCGTGAAGAACTAGGAGATAACTCTTGCATTTCTCCCTGACCCATCTCTTTGCTTCTCATTTCCAGGACCAGGGAAATGTTTTGATCTTCCTGAATTCCTTTCTACAAGCTTTTTTCTTCCCAGGGACATCCCCACTCCAGGGAAATTCTCTACCCATATTTATTTTTCCCTTGGTTCAGTAAATCTTTCTGTATTTCACAGGGGCCAGGGCCTTGTCTTGAGCTTGTCTTGGGCCTTGTCTGTCCTTGCTTCCTTTCTACCCTTTACTGCTAGAATAAATTGTCTGGGCCCCCAGGGTCAGGAATTGTTTCTCTTCGTGGTTGGTGTAGTCTGCCTTTTATTCACAGAAATAGGGAGTGCTATGTCCCTGGTCCGAAGACATAAAGGAAGAAGGTTGTGTGCTGCCATGGTGACTAGAAAGACATTTCCTTACACCCTGTTTACATCTTCTAGGTTCTCTCCCTTATACTTGTTCCCATAAGAACATGGAAGTAAAGCTCTATGATTGCATGATGTCTTCCCAATGACAGAGGAAAGGCTTTTCCTGTCTTCACACTTCTTAGAACAGAAGGAGAATAAGATGCTTCTCCCTGCCTCACCTTGTCCAACTTGGGACTTTTTTGGTGATAAGAGAGGAGAGTCTTCCTGCTGCTCCATCCAGTCTTGGTCCTGAACTGTCACCTGGGACATTTGTATTCTTGGAGGCCCATTAGATCTCCTGGGAAAGAAGGGAGTTGTTGGGAGGAAACTCGGATGGTGAAACCTTGTTTTGACTACTCAGATTTCCTGGTTGTTCAGATGCTGTGACTCCTTTAGGACTTCAGGAGCCCCTTTGGCATCCTGGGGTCCTAGTGCTGGGAAGGTGGTAGTGTCAGGGGTTTCCTTTTCCAGGCATGGCCACCTTACTGAGTCTACTCTGTGAAAAGAGTGGCTTTAAGTCTCCTGAGCTTGAGGACCCCACAGAGCATTTTCAGAAGGGGGCATGCATGCTCAGGTGATGGGAGAAGCCAGACCTGGCACTATAGCCAGGGTACCTGGATTCCCGCTCTGGCTCTGCTGGAGCTTCGCTGGATGAATCAGAATAGGTAGGTCTATGTTTTCTGGGTCTCCATTTCCTCATTGGTCAGGTAAGGAGCTGGTGAAGTGTCATTTAGCTTTGGGATTTTAGGGAACTCAAGCCAAAGCCCTCTGGACCTGGAGGTAACAGAGAATGGTGGGTGTCTTTTGAGGAAAATCTGGGTTCCTCTCTCTCTCTCTCTCTTTCTCTCCCTCCCTCCCCCCCCCCCTTTTTTCCCTCTCCACCATCCAAGCTTGGTGGGCAGGATAGATGTCTGTTCATTGTGAGGCTTGGGGTTGGCAGACAGTGATTTTTGTATCCAGTTGTATTATGGTGAATGAACTTGGGGGTTACCTCTCAGGGAGCCTATTGGATGCTGTGGTTGTAGTGTGGGAAAAGTTTGGGCTTTGGAGCTGGGCAGGCCTGAGTTCAAACCCCAGAGTCCCTGCTTGGCTGATTTATGGCCTTAGGCCGACTTTTCAGCTGCTGCTGCTGCTTTTTTTTTTTTTTTTTCCCAAAAGGCCACCCCTGCCCCTAGGGTTATTGAGTGTATGAATACCTGACCTGGCCCACCTCTGAGTTTGGCTAATTATTTTGCAGTTTCCCCAGGATCATCTGGTTCCTCCTGGAATCCTTTGTAACAGGCAAGCTTTGGCATATAGGAATCTGCTGATTCCTTTGCTGGGAGATAGAGTCTCGGGGAGATAGAGTCTCATAGCAGGAAGTAGTCCTTTCCTGGGCCATCTGGGTTTGAGTCCCATATCTGTTTGAGTCCCATATCTTCAGGCACTTCCTCTTTCTGCACCTCAGTTTCTCCAGTCTTAAAATGGGTAACAGTGTGGAGGGAGGTTGGACTCATTTCTTGGAAGCTAATTGTGATCTCTTCTTTAATTCCCTGCACCACACTTCCCTACCCATTTTGAAAGTTTCAGGTGAAGCTCTTTAGGTTATGGGGGTATGCTACAAAGTTTTCAAGCAGTGTTTGGCTTCTTTCTCCCCTGCCAGTGGTATAGGCCCTCGGGTTTGTTTAATTTTAACAGCTTTAATGAGATATTCTTCACACACCATAGAGCTCACCAATTTAAAGTGCTTTTAGTGTATTCATAGAGTTGTGCGCTCATCACTATGATCAATCAGTTTTAGAACATTTTCATCACTTGTAAAAGAAGCCCTGCACCATCCCCATCCCCTAGTCCCCTCATCACCTCCCAGTCCCCAGCAACTATTAATCTACTTTTTGTCTCGATTAATTTGTCAGTTCTGAATGGTTCGTGTAAATGGCATCATACAATGTGCAGTTCTTCGTATCTGTCTCCACTTAGCATATTATTTTCAAGCCTCATCCATGTTGTGTCATGCATCAGTACTTTCTTTTTGTTGCAAATAATAGAATCTTCATTTCTGAACCCACCTTCTCTTGCCCCCTCAGTGGCCCAGCAGTAGGTTTGGGGCGTTGTACTTTTCCCATTCTTTCTCCCTGGAGAGCCTGTGTTGCTTCTTAGCAGTGTGCCTGTGTTTTTCATTGGATGGGCTGCCTATGTTTTGCCCATGGAACTGAGCCAGTGTTCCTGGGTGTTTTTAGGGGAGAGAGGGGTGGTCTTGGCATCAGGCTTGCTGGGACAGAGCTGTGAAGGCCAGAATACTAAACACCTTGGCCCTGCTCTAAGAAGACATCTGCCCACAAGCTGCCATTCCCTTTCAGTGGCAGTGGCAGCTCATTCATTGATAGGCAGGGTGAGCAGCTTCCTAGACTCCAAGGGGGGGAATTCCAGTTCCCTGATACCTTCATTCTGATCCTCTCCCTGAGGGGATGC